CTCTGTAGCCCCCGCTGCATTGGGCCCTGACCTTGCTCTTCCTTTGACCTCTCTGACTACTCCCCTCGGCTCCCCTCCCTCCTCTGTGGTTGGGTCGAGCCCCAAGCCCCCAGTGGTGACCACCTCGTCCCCTGGCATGGCTCAGTCTCTAATTGTGACTACTGCGCCTTTTAACCCCTCTCTCTCTGGGGTTAAAAGCACTCGCACTCGCTCGATTCCTTCCCGTACTGATGCGTATCAGGCCTTGTTTGGTCCCGCATAGTGGGCCAAATAATTTGATCTCCTCCCTCTTGATTCTACGGCTCCTGACGATTTCTCCCTTCATAGGCACCTTGTTGATTCCGTAGATGCCTCTGTTACTTTCCACCCCACCCGTCTCGTGCATGTGTCGTTGCTGCTCCTTCTCAGGATGCAGCCTTCCGCTTGGCCACCTTCTCCTGCCTTGGCAAGACCCCTGTTCGGGTCTCCAAGAACGCTCGGTTGAATGCCTGTGTGGGCACTATTCTCCTCCCACCCCATGTTGTTACCGGTGTTCGGAATCTCCAGGACTGCCACGAAGATATTTGTCATATCCTCGATGCCCAAGGCCATTCTGTCCTCCAGGTAGACTCGTTTACTCGTCCCCCTCGTGGTCGTCGCCGTCAACTCCTTTTGGGTTGTGAAGATTACCTTTGATGGTAGGACCCTTCAGCCCTCTGTCATTCTTGCTGGTGCCAGGTGCTCTGTCCAGGAGTACATTCCCTCTACACGACTTTGTAATAAGTGCTGGAGGTTTGGGCATGGTGCCCTCCACTGCTCTGGAACTGTCTCTCTCAGTCCTTTGTGAGGGGGCGAAGGTCACTGTAAGTCGGAGTGCACTTCTCCCCAGCCTCGCTGCCTCAATTGCGGTGAGACTCACCCTACCCTCTCCCGTGCATATATACATTACAAGCTTGAGACAGCTGTCCTCAACTTGAAGCACCGGGAGTGTTTATGTTTTCCTGAGGCGAGACGCCAGGTTCGCTGGCTCCCACCTTATGCTAACATCTCTTATGCTTGCGTGTTGCGCTCTTCCTCTCCTCGTTCTTCCACCTTCCTCAGGCTCATAACCGTTTTCAGGCCTTGGACCCTGATACGCCCACTGCCCCCTCCTCTGTTCCTTTGAGTTCTGTCCCGAAGGGTCCCCATCCTGGTCCTATATCTGGGGTTCCCCTTCTTTCTGCCCGGTTTGTCATGTCTCCTGTGTCTTCTTCCTCGTCTCCCTCCGATCCTCCTTCCCATCCTTCTCCTCCATCTATTGGCTCTCCACGCTGCCTGTCAGTGCGGGCTGATGTTCATCGCTCTCCCAACGGCCGTCGTGTATGCTCTCGTTCAGCTTCTCCTGTTGAGACGCTGGAATCCGTTGCCCAGTACGTAGTTGCTGGGACACCGGTCTCTTTGAGTCAGAAGCTTAAGTCTGGCTCCTCTCCTTCGCTCGTCTTCTCTTTACTTAGATTTCACGTGGCAGGTTCTTGATGACCTCCATGGCAGTGACCATTTCCCCATCCTTGTTACCTTTTTCTCTTTTCGCCCTCCCCTCTCCTTCCCTAGGTGGCAGTTTTTTAAGGCAGACTGGAACCTATTTACCTTCAGTGCTGCTCTCTCTGACCTCTCCCTTCTGCCTCTCCCTCACTCTTTCCACCTTTTTCATGACACCGTCTTCGGCGCTGCCCTCCGTACTATTCCTCGCTCTTCCTCTTAAGGCCCATGGAAGTGCGTTCCCTGGTGGAATGCAGACTGTGCTCGGGCTGTCCGCTGTAAGCGTGCAGCCTGGAAGAGACACTGCCACCGGCAGACGGCCGATTCTTTTCTTTTATTTCAGAAGGCGAGTGCAGTGGCCCGTAGGGCCATGTGTACGGCTAAACGTGAATGTTGGGCGTCTTATATCTCCACCATTAAGTCCGACACTCCTCTACCGAAGACCTGGAAGCGTATCCGCAAGATAGTGCGTAAGATCGTTTCCCCTTGCTCTGGTGCTCTTGGGAGGTGTTGATCTTTGGGGTATTTAAATACTCCGACCAACTGCCACCTTGATGGCCAGTGTTCGTGTCCCCTGGTTTAGGGTTGAGTGTCTAAAAAGTTGATGAAATATACTTCAACTTGTGGTTATAAGCAAGTCTATGCTTATATATATATATATAAGCAGAGACACTGTGTCTTCCCATATATATATATATATATATATATATATATAAGGGTATATATATGCCAGTTGCTGGAGATGCTTCTATATTGGAGCGGAGTCTTGAGGTGGGTAGAATATAGTTGTGCATTAGTTGGCTGTTGATTGCTGGTGTTTACTTCTTGATGTGTAATGCCTCGCAAACGTCAAGCCGCCTGCTATCGCTGTATCTATCGATGATTTCTGTGTTGTTTACTAGGATTTCTCTGGCGGTGGTTTGGTTGTGGGAAGAGATTATATGTTCCTTAATGGAGCCCTGTTGCTTATGCATCGTTAAACGCCTAGAAAGAGATGTTGTTGTCTTGCCTATATACTGGGTTTTTTGGAGCTTACAGTCCCCAAGAGGGCATTTGAAGGCATAGACGACGTTAGTCTCTTTTAAAGCGTTCTGTTTTGTGTCTGGAGAGTTTCTCATGAGTAGGCTGGCCGTTTTTCTGGTTTTATAGTAAATTGTCAGTTGTATCTTCAGATTTTTGTCTGTAGGGATAACGTTTCTATTAACAATATCTTTCAGGACCCTTTCCTCCATTTTATGAGCTGTGGAAAAGAAGTTCCTGTAAAATAGTCTAATAGGGGGTATAGGTGTTGTGTTAGTTGTCTCTTCAGAGGTTGCATGGCGTTTCACTTTCCTTCTTATGATGTCTTCCACGAAACCATTGGAGAAGCCATTGTTGACTAGGACCTGCCTTACCCTACAGAGTTCTTCGTCGACTTGCTTCCATTCTGAGCTGTGGCTGAGAGCACGGTCGACATATGCGTTAACAACACTCCTCTTGTACCTGTCTGGGCAGTCGCTGTTGGCATTTAGGCACATTCCTATGTTCGTTTCCTTAGTGTAGACTACAGTGTGGAAACCTCCGCTCTTTTCCATGACTGTTACATCTAGAAAGGGCAGCTTCCCATCCTTTTCCATCTCGTAAGTGAAACGCAACACGGAACTCTGCTCAAATGCCTCCTTCAGCTCCTGCAGATGTCTGACATCAGGTACCTGTGTAAAAATGTCGTCAACATACCTGCAGTATATGGCTTGTTTCAAGTTCATGTCGACTAAGACTTTTTGCTCGATGGTACCCATGTAGAAGTTTGCAAACAGGACACCTAGGGGAGAACCCATGGCGACCCCATCTACTTGCTTATACATGTGCCCATCCGGGCTCAAGAAGGGTGCCTCTTTAGTACAAGCTTGGAGTAGTTTCCTCAGAATATTTTCTGGTATGTCAAGAGGAGTACAGGCTGGATCACCTCCAACAGTGAAAAGAAATGTACGAAAGATTGAGAAAATTCGTGTTAGAATTATTAATCTTACTTTTTCGGTCATATTTAATAATATATGTCTACAGGAAAGACTGCTACCAAAATATACAAAATATATATATATATATATATATATATATATATATATTAATATATATATATATATATATAACAAGCCTGAATGGTCCCCAGGACAATATAACTATATATATATATATATATATATATATATATATATATATATATATATATATATATATATATATATGTCACTGTATCGTTGTGTTCCAATTCACTAATTTACTTTACCACTGATCACAGTCACCATCCAACAAACACAATTAGGTAGTTCCACGGCGGGTCGTCCCAGGTGTGTATGTGTGTGTGTGTGTGTGTGTGAGTGTGTGTGTGTGTGTGTGTGTGTGTGTGTGTGTGTGTGTGTGTGTGTGTGTGTGTGTGTGTGTGTGTGTGTGTGTGTGTGTGTGTGAGTGTGTGTTTACTAGTTGTGTTTACTAGTTGTGTTTTTGCGGGGGTTGAGCTTTGCTCTTTCGGCCCGCCTCTCAACTGTCAATCAACTGTTTACTAACTACTTTTTTTTTTTTTTTTTTTTTTTTTCCACACCACACACACACACACCCCAGGAAGCAGCCCGTGACAGCTGACTAACTCCCAGGTACCTATTTACTGCTAGGTAACAGGGGCACTTAGGGTGAAAGAAACTTTGCCCATTTGTTTCTGCCTCGTGCGGGAATCGAACCCGCGCCACAGAATTACGAGTCCTGCGCGCTATCCACCAGGCTACGAGGCCCCTACGAGGCCTGTGTGTGTGTGTGTGACGGAAAACTTCACGCAACAGAAGTGGCTTGAACCCAGACCACCAGGAGCACGCTGCAACTGGGGTACATGGTACCTTAACCGCTTGTCCATCAGTGACCGTACAATCAGTCACATATATGCATGGGGACCATTCAAGCTTGTTCGCATTTGTGTTGCTCACGTGGCCCCCACAAAAATGTGGTGATTTGATGAAATAACTATGCCGAAGAGTACCATCAAAGTGCCGTCGGGGCGATGGGGATATAGTCTCGGCTACCATCGTCTTTTGTAAGGTCACTGATGGTCAAGCGGTTAAGGTACCATGTACCCCAGTTGCATTGTGTTCCTGGTGGTCTGGGTTCAAGTCATTTCTGGGGTGTGGAGTTTAAAGTTGCATTAGTCCAAGTCCGTAAAGTCCAAGATTACCATCAGAGTGCCGGCGGAGGGATGGGGAATTAGCCTCAGCTACCATCCTCTTTTGTCCGGTCATGTTGGTCGAGTGGTTAAGGTGTCCGGTACGCCGGATGCAGAGTGCTCCTGGCAGTATGGGTTCGAGTCACTTCTGGGGTGTGAGTTTTCAGTTGCATATATGCCTGGAGAACGTTTATGTTGGTTCGCAAATATATGAAGTTTGTGTGTGTGAGTATATATATACACATACACTAATATTCTGTTGTAAATCACAGCATAAACAACCTGTGGCCACATGTTACCTCCTTGCTATTCACAGGGTCAGACTGACGAGGAAGAGAGCGGCGGAGATAATGTGTTTCCTCCTGGAGAGACCCAGAGTGTCCCGGGTCACAATACAGGGCAACAACATCTCCCCAAGTAAGATAGCTTCACTTATACAATAATTATTCCTTCAAGAAAATAAATCTCTGGCTGTTTCATGTTTTATTAATTTCGTGTTTTTTTCAAAATATCTTTAAAAAATTGAAGCTAGCCATATTTTTTGTCAGACAATAAAAGCTGATTACTGGACATGAAGAGGTCTGTCAGAGATGCCCAAAAGGCATAAAAGATCAGTCATTGCACAAGCATTATTGATTGTTGTGAACTGTATTTAAATTCTATGTAGGTCGACAAAGATCATGTTGTTTAATCATAGCACAACTGTAGGCTCGACTCAGAGAATTCGATAACAAGGGAGAGGAGAACCTCCAACACCAACTGGTGGACCCATTATGCAATAAACACCATTAATACATTCAATATAACAAATACAGTCACTGAGAGGGGTGTCGACGAAATACGTGCAGAGATCATTATGCAAGCCCCTTAGGAATCGCTGCCACCAGACTTTAAGATTATGGCTCTTGAAGCAAAAAAAGAATCAAACTAATCCTCATCTGCTACGTAACATTGCACAGATGAATATAGAAGACAAACTTGGCATCTAACAGCTTTACACCAAGGCAGGAAATTCTGTAGTTAGTTGGAGACTCTCACACGGGTGTTCAACTCTGCAGAGATGCTAGCCATTCAGAAGGCTTTGGAACATGCTCTTGCTGAACATCTACAGCATGTTATCATACATACAGATTCGAGAACAGCCACTAAAACATTGCAACAAGAACCGCATACGTGATTAACAAGAACACATACGAGGTCAAGATTCCATGTGACCTCAAATATCATAGCATTAATGCAAACTCTCAAACGTCAACGCCATCGAATACTTATTATTCCCACATTACTTGGGTGCCAAGTAATGTGGGAATAAAATAATAGGGAATGACATTTCAGACGAAGCTGCAAAACTTGCAACTAAGCGACGAAATGTAGACATTTACATACCACAGCGTCTATCACAGATTAAGAAAATAATTAGAAATAGAACAATGTAGAAGATGTACAGTGACCACAACACAGCAGTTGCAACATCAGGATCTGTAGGTTGGTACAAGAATTCAACCAACTACGAACCACTTATTTTCAAGAATGGGAGCAGTAGAGCAACAGAAGTACATTAACATCACATCAGGCTTGGATACCCATGTGCAGGGGAAATAGGCTTACAGGTTCCGGAAGATGAGAGGAAATGTCAGCACTGTGGAGAAATGCCCAACAGACCATTGGAACGTTATCTAACAGTTACAAACTCTTTAAGATTTCAACTTAGATTCAAGAGAGCAGAAGAAGTTGTTAAACACATGGGAGAAAATCTTACTAAAGCAAACATACAAGTCATAAATACTCATACTCCGCCTACTACTCATAGCACAAGTGTATGGATATATATATATATGTCGTACCTAGTAGCCAGAACGCACTTCTCGGCCTACTATGCAAGGCACGATTTGCCTAATAAGCCAAGTTTTCCTGAATTAATATATTTTCTCTAATTTTTTCCTTATGAAATGATAAAGCTACCCATTTCATTATGTATGAGGTCAATTTTTTTTTATTGGAGTTAAAATTAACGTATATATATGACCGAACCTAACCAACCCTACCTAACCTAAAATAACCTATCTTTATAGGTTAGGTTAGGTAGCCGAAAAAGTTAGGTTAGGTAGTCGAAAAAACATTAATTCATGAAAACTCGGCTTATTAGGCAAATCGGGCCTTGCATAGTAGGCTGAGAAGTGCGTTCTGGCTACTAGGTACGACATATATATATATATATATATATATATATATATATATATATATATATATATATATATATATAGTAGGCATCCTTCAGTCTCGGGAGACTATGGAGTTGCGCCCTAGTTGTCAATCCTGGTGCAGCGTCTGGTGTGACTGATGAGGCCAATCCGAGAGTGGCATTCCATCCCACACCGAGCACAAACGAAGTCCGATTCTGGTCTGTCTTCCTGGTTACCGGCTTTCCTTCTCTGTCTCTTTGCCTCCGATTCCTTGGCAAGTGACTTCTCGAACTTAGAGAGACCTCGTTGAACAGACTGCCTCCAGGCTGAACGGTCTGCAGCCAGTGTCTCCCATATAGCGAGATCGACGTCCATGGCTTTCAGGTCCCTTTTGCATACGTCTTTGTACCGTAGCTGGGGCTTGCCTACTGGACGCTTTCCCTGCCTCAGCTCTCCATACAGGAGATCCTTGGGGATCCTGCCGTCGCCCATTCGCACAACGTGCCCGAGCCAGCGCATTCGTCTCTGTTTCAGCATTGTGTACATGCTGGTGATTCTTGCTCTCCCCAAGACGTTGTTGTTTGTCACCTTGTCCTGCCAGGTGATGTCCAAGATGTGTCTAAGGCAGCGCATGTGGTAGGCATTCAGCCGTCTTTCCTGACGGGCGCGGAGTGTCCAAGACTCACTGCCATAAAGGAGAGTGCTCAGGACACAGGATCTGTAAACCTGAATCTTAGTATACTCAGTTAGCCTATTGTTGGCCCACACTCTCTTTGTCAGTTTGGACATGGTAGTAGATGCCTTACCGATGCGTTTGTTTAGCTCCGTATCAAGAGAGAGGGAGTCAGAGATTGTGGAGCCCAGGTACACGAAGTCGTGAACAACTTCCAGTTTGGAATCAGAGATGCCGATGTCAGGTGGGGAGTCCACTCCTTGTCCCATGACTTGTGTTTTTCTTCAGACTGATGGTGAGTCCGAAAGCCTGAGAGGCCTCGCTGAAGCGGGTTATGAGCCGTTGGAGGTCTTCAGCTGAGTGGGCAGTGACTGCTGCGTCGTCGGCAAAGAGGAAGTCGCGCAGACACCTCAGCCGAACCTTTGTCTTGGCTCTCAGCCTGGCGAGGTTAAAGAGCTTCCCATCCGACCTGGTCCGGAGGTAAATGCCTTCCGTGACAGATCCGAAGGCGTGCCGCAGCATAACTGCGAAGAAAATCCCGAATAGGGTTGGAGCCAGTACGCAGCCCTGCTTTACTCCACTTCGGATGTCAAAGGCGCCTGATGTTAGGCCATCAAAGACCACGGTGCCCCTCATGTTCTCATGGAAAGATCTGATGATGCTGAGGAGCCTGGGTGGGCATCCGATCTTGGGGAGGATCTTGAACAGGCCATCCCTGCTGACAAGGTCGAAGGCCTTCGTCAGGTCTATGAAGGCTACAAAGAGTGGCTGCTTCTGTTCCCTGCATTTCTCCTGCAGTTGTCTGAGGGAAAAGACCATGTCGATGGTGGACCTGCCAGCTCTGAATCCACATTGTGATTCTGGATAAACTCTCTCTGCAAGTACTTGGAGCCTCTTCAATGCGACTCGAGCAAACAGCTTTCCGACAATACTGAGGAGGGAGATTCCACGGTAGTTGTTGCAGTCGCCGCTGTCACCTTTATTCTTATACAGTGTGACGATGTTGGCATCCCTCATGTCCTGTGGCACCTCTCCTTCTTCCCCAGCAGAGGCAGAGAATTTCGTGCAGCTCCATGATATATATATATATATAATATATATATATATATATATATATATATATATATATATATATATATATATATATATGCGAACAAGCCTGAATGGTCCCCAGGACAATATGCAACTGAAAACTCACACCCCAGAAGTGACTCGAACCCATACTCCCAGGAGCCACGCAACTGGTATGTACAAGACGCCTTAATCCACTTGACCATCACGACCGGACATAATGAGGTGATAGCCGAGGCTATTTGAACCACCCCACCGCCGGCACTCGGATAGTAATCTTGGGCATAGCATTTTACCAAATCACCTCATTCTTTGGGGCACACGTGAGGAACACAAATGCGAACAAGCCTGAATGGTCCCCAGGACACCTAATTGTCCTGGGGACCATTCAGGCTTGTTCGCATTTGTGTTCCTCACGTGTGCCCCAAAGAATGAGGTGATTTGGTAAAATGCTATGCCCAAGATTACTATCCGAGTGCCGGCGGTGGGGTGGTTCAAATAGCCTCGGCTATCACCTCATTATGTCCGGTCGTGATGGTCAAGTGGATTAAGGCGTCTTGTACATACCAGTTGCGTGGCTCCTGGGAGTATGGGTTCGAGTCACTTCTGGGGTGTGAGTTTTCAGTTATATATATATATATATATATATATATATATATATATATATATATATATATATATATATATATATATATATATATATATATATATATATATATATTAAAGAACACCAGAGGTCCTTCATCATCTCATTGCCTGGGAGAGAATGGAATTCTGTGGGTTAAATACCCCAGAATTCCTACCTCTCTTATGGCTTTGAAGTATGGTGCAATGGATACAGTGTGTACCTGCCACTCTGTGGGCCAGGGTTCGAGTCTCCTGGTGGGTTGAGTGTTAAAAAGTTATAAACTTCAGCTTGCGAGTTATATAGGCAAGTCTGTGCATATATATATATATATATATATATATATATATATATATATATATATATATATATATATATATATATATATATATATATATATATAATAGTCGTACCTAATAGCCAGAACGCACTTCTCAGCCTACTATTCAAGGCCCGATTTGCCTAATAAGCCAAGTTTTCATGAATTAATGTCATTTTTTTTCTACCTTTTAACCTACCTAACCTAACCGAACCTAGCCAACCATTACCTAACCTAACCTTACCTATAAATATAGGTTAGGTTAGGTTAGCGTAGGGTTGAGGTTCGGTCAATATCTACATTAATTTTAACTCCAATAAAAAAAAGTTGACCTTAGGTAGAGAAAAAGGGTAGCTTTATCATTTTATAAGAAAAAACATTAATTCATGAAAACTTGGCTTATTAGGCAAATCGGGCCTGCATAGTTGGCTGAGAAGTGCGTTCTGGCTATTAGGTACGACATATATATATATATATATATATATATATATATATATGTCGTACCTAGTAGCCAGAATGCACTTCTCAGCCTACTATTCAAGGCCCGATTTGCCTAATAAGCCAAGTTTTCTGAATAAATATATTTACTATAATTTTTTTCTTATGAAATGATAAAGCTACCCATTTCTTTATGTATGAGGTCAATTTTTTTTATTGGAGTTAAAATTAACGTAGATATATGACCGAACCTAACCAACCCTACCTAACCTAACCTAACCTATCTTTTATAGGTTAGGTTAGGTTAGGTAGCCAAAAAAAGTTAGGTTAGGTTAGGTTAGGTAGGTTAGGTAGACGAAAAAACATTAATTCATGAAAACTTGGCTTATTAGGCAAATCGGGCCTTGAATAGTAGGCTGAGAAGTGCGTTCTGGCTATTAGGTACGACATATATATATATATATATATATATATATATATATATATATATATATATATATATATATATATATATATATATATATATATATATATTCAGCTTTCCATTTCTGACTTCAATGTATGCCTTGATAATATTCACTAAAGTGCTTTGATTTTTTGTTTCCTTTTCTTGGGCTGTGTCGTCATTAATAATCTAACTGCTGAAGGCCTTCTGAAAGTGTAAATGTTGACAGTGAGAACAAGACTGGCAAGCTGGAGGAGGTGAGAGTGAAGAAGATGCCGAAGGACCTGGACCACTCGGGCCTCACCACGGTGCCTCCCAATGAATCATGTCGGGCGCTGAGGGACATGTGCTTCCTGGCTACCGCCTACTCTGCCAACCTGGGGGGCACAGGCTCCCTAACCGGCTCCGCTCCCAACCTTGTCATCAAGAGCGTCCTGGCCAGGTTACTACAATTTATTCGAGCATGAGAATTAAAATCACGACTCAAATAATTATCATTTAGACTATTTCCTATTTGATTATTAATCTTTTCTTTGTTTTGTCCACCATTTTCAATGGTTTTACTTAATAGAATAAATATAATTTATTGTGTAAATGTTCTTCACATATACACATTTATAGTGTTCTTCTTAAGATTGACTCCATCCTGGTTGACTGGTTGTACCGACTCTGCTAAAAGACTTTCCATTTGAAGAAAAATTCTTAATAGTAATTGGTACATCTACATAGGCTTCCGTAGCTAGACAGCGAATTCCGCTCTGTGTCTGCTTCATGTCAGCGAGGAAGATACGGCAGCATTAGACAACTCTGCGTGAGACCTATCTTGTCTGCTGCGTGATGCTGGCAACGGTTACTATGGCTTGGGGCCAGTTACACTTAATGCACCTAAAATAGGAAAGTAGTGTAGTAGTGAATTTTGATAAGAAAGGCGTTGTTATGAAAGCCTCATGTTTTCAGCCGAATGCTTGCTAACTTTGGCCACCACCTGTCACCAACTGTCTATTGGAAACAAATTTTTTTATGCATTTGAACACATTTCGGTCTTCATTATAGTTTTAATATTTTCTATCTTTTTGAAAGCAGCGAAATTTTAGATCATCTTAATATTGTAGCAAATTTGAACTAAACTAACAATTTAACTAGCTAATTCAAACCCAACTCACACAAAGATAATGAACTATGTAGTTGTGTAGATCCTTGTGTCTAGAAGGCCACTAGTCTACCAGGTAGTGAGGTAGTGAGGCATGTAGATGCTTCTTCAACAACATTACCCGTGACTTGTAGCTCTACCACTACCTCTTCTTCCTACAGCACCTACAGCGAGGCTACTGGTCTAAACTTCCTGTCATGGATGGTCTTCAACGTCCCGGGCATGTTGCTGTGTGTGGTCCTAGCCTGGCTGTGGCTCCAGCTCTACTTCTCAGGAATATTGTGGTAAGTCACACACTAATACTTTCGTAATTATGGAATATATATTGTTTTTTTTTTACTGCAACACCTTTCTTCACCTCACCCTACATGGTAATATGTACTCCACAGGAGCCGTGATGAGGATTCAAACCTATTCACTGGGTATTCCCAGATACACGCTCTAGACCAGCCTATACTCTGGGAAGTCCTTCATATAAGTTCACATAAGCCCAATGCATAGGTTTGAATCCTGTGTATTTTCTCATATACATATATATATATATATATATATATATATATATATATATATATATATATATATATATATATATATATATATATATATATATATATGTCGTACCTGACAGGCTGTAGTCGTAGGATGACTCCATACACAGTTTCAAGTGTAGATATGATAGAGCCCAATAGGCTCAGGAACCTGTACACCTGTTGATTGACGGTTGAGAGGCGGGGCCAAAGAGCCAGAGCTCAACCCCTGCAAGCACAATTAGGTGAGTACACACACACACACACACACATACACACACACACACACACACACACACACACACACACACACACACACACACACACACACACACACACACACACACACACACAGAGGAGGTGGTCTTGTCTTGTGACCATCGTGTTGGGTGGACGTGGGTTGGGAGCTCCTGGTTCACTAGTGGAGTGGGAGGGGTAATCAGGCAACTTCTAAGTGAAAAAGTGTGTACAAGTGAATGAAAAAAACTTGGGTTTTGACCAAAGCCATAAGGTAGTGAAGAAAAGCAGTATAAGTAGCATAATTGAAAATAGTTGATGAAGTACTGTGGCAGTGTGCAGTGTGGAGCAGACCTCACCCCGGCAGCAACCCTCCTACCACCACTTGGGACGACGCTTGGAGATTCACTCATTTATTGTGTTAGCAGGACGGTAAGATACTTAGAACCCCTGTGGGTAAGGTTGGAGTATAGCAATGACTAGGTCAGGAAGGGCGTCTAGGCCCAGCAGTATTATGATTGAAGAAGAAGATAGGTTTGTGGAGAAGATGATTGGGAAATTTGTAGAGAAGAGGGATGTTTGGATAGATGATCTAATCCAGGGGATTAAAAGTGAAATCTTTACTAAGATACAGGGCGAGGTTCAAAGACTCAAACAAGAGTTTAATAATTATATTCAAGAGGAAATCAGGAAGAGCAGGGTAGAATGGTAAAGAGAAATAACTAGGCTTACTAATGAATTTGGCAGGAATGAGGGAAGCTTGGCAGGGGAAGGGGGAGTAGTAGTAGGTGGAGTAGCGGGTGTGGGAGGGGTGGGGGTCAGCCAGGGAGGGGGCCACCAGCATGACCCTGAACTGAGAAAGAGGACAATCATAATCCATGGATTGCTTGAAGCCAAGGCACCATCGAGGCAGGAAAGGATGGAGATTGGAGATTTGAAGCTACACGGGATCTTGAGAGACATGAGAGCCCAGATGGCAGGGAATGAGGTGCAAGTCCACCGACGCATTGGGCCATACAACTGTAACAGGAAACGACCTGTCCTGGTACAGTTCACTAACGAACAGGCAGTGGATTACATACTGCATCACAAACACTTACTCAGAGGTAGCGAAAATTACTACAAGGTATATATTGAGAAATTTATGACGAAGGAGGAACAGATAGCCCACAGAGCAAGCAAACCTACACGATACAACTCTTCCCATTTGAGCGTAGTTACACACCCCAGTGCTAATCCACCCCATGCTAACCAGCTCACACCTGCTTCTCAGGTCACTCCCTCCCCAAATCAGCCCTCCCTGCCCCTGCTTATCTCCCCAACACCTCCCTTGACCCCACTGCAGTCAAATTCATCCCACATTCCAAGGACCCCCTCATCACCTCAACCCCCAAAACCCGTCCAGCCCTCATCCCCTCAACCCCCAAAACCCACCCAGCCCTCATCTCCTCAACCCCAAAAACCCACCCAGCCCTCATCCCCTCAACTCCCAAAACCCGCCCAGCCCTCACCCCTCCTCATCCCCTCTCCTTCCATGTGACCCCCCACCCTTGTGAGGGGGGTGGGAGGTTCCCCCCCACCCCCTCTATCCTTCCCCCTCCCAACCACTCAACCGCTATCTGACTCCCAACCTTACGCTATCTCCCAACCCCTCTATGCCTATCAGACCCTCCCTAATCTTCAGACTCAGTATTCCCTTCCTACTCCAGACCTACCTACCCAGGCCCTACCCCAGACCCTCCTACCTACCTTCCTAGATGCCCAGCCCCCATTATCCCCCCAAGCGCCCCTCCCGACCCTTTTCACCCCCATACACCCCCCGGATCCCCCCCGCCCCCAGACACCCCCGAGATCCCCCAGGTCCCCCCGGCCCCCAGTCATCCCCAGACACCCCCAGACCCCCAGAAAAAGGGCAAACTCTGGTACAAGAGTTTCCATGAAGAATCTCAAGTGATGAGTCACAATTACGTGGCTGAAGTATGTTGACCAGACCACACACTAGAAATTGAAGGGACGACGACGTTTCGGTCCGTCCTGGACCATTCTCAAGTCGATTGTGATGAGGACAGGTAGGGACAGGCATTAAATAGGCAAGAGAGAGCTGAGGAGGAAAGTCAGGTGTAGGGGATAGTAGTAATGAGAACTGCAGCAGGCCTATTGGCCCATACGAGGCAGCTCCTATTATAACCACCGAAGGAGGAGAAGGAGGAATAAGAAGAGGATAGCAAGGGAGCGTAGGAGAAGACAATGGACAGAAAAAGGGAGAAGAGAGAAAGAAAGGGAAAGAGAAAGAAAGAAATGGAAGGGGGAAAGCTTATGTTAAGTCACGTTTGTTAGAAAGATTAGAGCATTTGAGTATATACTGTGAAAGGGAAGAGTCCACAGCAACAAAGCCAGGACTCAAGTTCATGTTGGGTACATTGTTAATAAGAGCCGATTCTACAAGACGGCGTCTGTGTAGAGTAGAGGCAGGAAAGATTATTTTGGAGGAAGACCAATCAATGGGATGATTAGAATCCCTCACATGGCAGAAGAGAGCATTGTTAGTGTCTGCAGACATAACACTTCTCTTGTGTTCTTTAAGTCTGTCATTCAGTGTACGGCCAGTTTCGCCAAAAACTGGTCGTCGTCCCTTCAATTTCTAGTGTGTGGTCTGGTCAAGAATCTCAAGGTTTGGTACACCAATGCTGATGGGGTATCTAATAAAGCAGAAGAGATAAAAGAAATAGTGAGTGAGGCAGATCCTGACATAGTTGCAATTGTGGAAACTAAAATTAATGACATGATCTCAGATGCAGTCTTTCCTGAAGGGTACCAGGTGATACGAAAAGAGAGAGGACACAGAGACAGGGAGGGGGAGTGGTACTTCTAATAAAGCAGAAATGGAAGTTTGAAGACCTGGGAAATCGGGTTACCAATGAGAGCACAAGCTTCATACATGGAACTCTGACAGTAGATGGGAGGAAGATTGTGATCTTGGTAATCTACAATCCCCCACCAAACAGTAGAAGACCCAGGCAGGAGTATGATGACAACAACAAGGCATGTATAGATGAACTGCAGAAGGCAGCAACACTAGCCCACAGAATGCGAGCAAAGCTGCTGATCATGGGGGGACCTAAATCATGGAGAGATAAATGGGGAATGAAGGAATCCCCATGGAGGGGACGAACGTGGGGAGCAAAGTTAGTAGATGTTATAGACAGGAATTGCCTAACACAACATGTGAAGGAAGACACAAAGGAAAGAGGAGGAGATGCACCGAGCCTATTAGACCTGATTTTCACCCAGAACGTAGAAGATATCGAGAATTTGGAGCATGAAATACCTCTAGGGGCCAGTGACCATTGTGTCCTAGTCTTTGACTACATGATGGAATTCAAACTTATGACTATGGGACAAGAGATCTGGGAAAGGAGAGTTGACTACAGGAAAGGGGACTACAGTCGGATAAGGGACTATCTGGGTGAAGTGCAGTGGGAGGAAGAAATTAGAGGAAAAACAGTCCAAGATATGATGGACCTAGTCATACAGAAATGCCAGGAGGCCGAAGAGAGATTTATATCATCAGTAAAGGGAAAAAATAAGAAGGAATATAAAATAACCCATGGTTTAATAGACAGTGTCAGGAAGCAAAAATGGCCAGCAGGCGGGAGTGGAGGAAGTACAGAAGACAAAGGATAGAGGACAACAGGATCAGATGCAACAGAGCTAGGAACGATTATATTAACATAAGACGAACATCGGAAAGAGACTATGAGAACGATATTGCAATCAAAGCGAAAAAACAACCTAAGTTACTACACAGCCATATAAGAAGAAAAATGTTGGTGAACGACCAAGTGACAAGACTAAGGAAGACAGAGGGGGCATATACTGAAAGTGACAAGGAAATCTGCGAGGCACTGAATGCCAGTTTCCATGGAGTGTTCACTACTGAGCCTGAGCAGCTCCCATTGTTGGAAGGGGGGTTACCCTAGATGAAAAACTATCTATCAGATATAGAGGTGACAGCAGAGGAGGTAATGAAACAGTTGATAACTCTAGATGTAACTAAAGCAGTTGGTAAAGTATCACCATGGATACTAAAAGAAGCAGCGCAGGTCCTCAGCGTGCCTCTGGCAATGATCTTTAATGAGTCACTTATGTCGGGAGAATTGCCCAGTTGCTGGAAGAAGGCAAATGTCGTACTAATTTTCAAGAAAGGCGATAGGGAGGAGGCACTTAACTATAGACCTGTATCACTGACAATCATCCCCTGTAAAATACTGGAAAGAATAATTAGGCTACGACTGGTTGCAGAACGTTAGGTTTGTGAACAAACATCAACATGGGTTCTGGACAGGGAAATCGTGCGTAATAAACCTGGAATTCTATGATAAAATAACGAGGATAAGACGGGACAGAGATGGTTGGGCGGACTGCATATTTCTGGACTGCCAAAAAGCCTTTGATACAGTACCGCACATGAGACTACTGTTCAAACTCGAGAGGCAGGCGGGCGTGGGGGAAAAGGTCCT